CTCCGGCCGCCTTATTAGCGCCCGGCGGGTCGCCGGCAGCCAGCAGACCGCCGCACTGAGAGCAACAGGAGCCGGCTAGCGACCCACTCCTCCCACCTCCTCCGCCAGCCTCCTCCTCCTCCCCTTCGGCTCCTCCCGCCCCCACCTCTGTGTGAGCGGCGGAGTCGCCCTCTCCCTGCCTCTTTCTCCCGCTCCCGCTCGCTCGTCTCTCTCGCTAATACTTCCCCCTGCTGTGCTCCAGGGCACCCAAGCATTCTCCGCGCTAACCTTAGGAACCAATGGTGCTCGAAAAGCCCAGGAAAAGCCGCTTTGGGCAGAGATAGTTGGAAGCCCCTCGTCCCTTCCCCCTCTCCCGGCGCAGCCCGTGCCCGGCTCGCAGCACCTTCTCGCTCCTGCACACTCTGTTTGGGAGAACGGGGTGAGAAGGTGAAGTGGAAAGAACTGCAGAGCAGAGGGGGCCAGTCTCAGAGCTCAAATTTCATTTTCATTGAAGCAAATCACAGAAGATAAGTTTTTTTTTTTTATTCTGCATTTTTTCTTTTTTCTTTTTCTTTCTTTCTTTCTTTTTTTTAAAAGAAACTTATTTTGGGGGGGGTTTGCTCTGGGCATTTGCTTTGCCCAGTAGTTGAAAAGTGAACTCGACTCGTGATGGTTCTCCTGTCACTTTGGTTGATAGCAGCCGCTCTGGTAGAGGTTAGGACTTCAGCTGATGGACAAGTAAGTGGAAAATAATAACAATAAAAAACTCAAACCCAACCTTTTCCCGAAAAAGTTCCTCCCCTCTTTCCCCTCCTCTCTTTCCTCCTCCCCCCCTCCCTCCCTTCCCTGTTATCTTGTGCCTTCAGAAACGGTGTTTGAGGGCTGGGCGCAGCCTGCGGGGTTTTCTGGGGTGGGGGGTTGAATTGCAGGGGTGGGTTGTGACTCCCACTCTGGGAGCCCAGGCTTGTCACACCTAGGGCTTCCCCCCCACCCCCCTTTGCGGCATTCGTAACAATTCCTGGTGACAAACTGCAGCCAATTCACATCCTCGCCGGGCCATCTGGGTTTCCCCTTTCCGGAGGGCGGTCTGGGCGCTTGAATGAAGTTCTGAACGCTGGGTCCAGGATCCCAGTGCTCTGGTTGCTGCCGCCGGAGTAGGGTTCGCGGGGCTTTCTCTCCTCCTCACTGACTCAGAGCTTTTTCGGGCAGCCGGAGGCGGGGGTTTCAGGAAGTCCTTGGGCCGGACAGGGAGCGATCCAGTAGACACGTGTCCTGGGAGGACCGCGGCCGGGCTGGGGTTTGACAGTTGGGGAGGGGGACTGGGGACGTTTCCTGCCCTGCATTTTCCTGGGCAGAGGCTGGAGGCGCCGGCCGCGTTACTCCCCTCCCCCTCCGCACAACTCCTCCTCTTTTAAAGCTAAGTTGAGTGCAGCTCTGTTGCTTTTCGGCCCAGCCCCCACCCTTTGGAGACTCAAGGTGAAGCTCGATGCTCTCTGAAGAGTCCTTGAGAAGGCTCGGCGGGACGAGCGGAGCCCCGAGCCGTTTGTTGTAAATCACATCAGCTCGGGGCCGGTGGGACTTCGGGCACAGAATAACTCTGTGAGTTTTTGTAGCTTCTCTGGTCGGCATGGTGTGGCCATAGGTTAAAAAAAAGTAGAAGATTGTCTAGTTGATTCTTGACCTCAAATCTGATATATCGGGCCCCCTTTTAGGTTTCTTTTCACGCATATGAATACAGAGATTTTCTTTGCTAATCCTCACCCAGTATCTGAGTTTTAAGAAAATAATATTGAATGTCAGTATTTATTTTTGCTGGCTTTATAAATATTAAAATTAAAACGGGCAAACAACTCCCCGTTCCAGACTGTTATTGAATTGGCTCATTCTCTTGCCACAAGAACCTACAAACCAAGGCTCAGCCTTTAGGCACCAGTCCCCATCTCCCGCATCTCCCGATTAGCTCCTGAAAAGCATTACTGGTAGAAATAAAACGTACAAGGTGATAAGATGAAACCCAGTAACTGTTTCTTTTTACTTTTCCCCCTCCTTTACAGGCTGGGAATGAAGAAATGGTGCAAATAGGTAAGCCTTGTTCTCAGATGTCATTCTTATCTTGGTAGGAAGTAGAGAATGAAATAAGCTAATTAAAATATTGTTTCTGAAATTTCTCCTGTTTGTGGTTAAAAAAAAAAATAATTTGTAGTTCAGGAGCATTTCTGTTCTCTTCCTCTTTCGGGAAGAGGGCCCCACTTTCTTCAGACGGAGTTAAAGGGATATAAAAATTCTGCCGTTGGACTTGTAATGCATCAGTTTTTTACTGTCCCTGGACAAGCCACTGGTAGGTACTTGGAGAATGATGTAGAGGTTGGAAGAAGACATGGAGATAAGTCAAATCAAATCAACTCGTGGAGCATTAGGAGGAACACCTCTGATTAGAACAGAAGGCAAAGTGTAAGAATGCTACAAAGGAGGGAAAAATGAAAGAGGATGAAAATTTTTCTCTTAAAAATTTTCCAGCTTTGTATAAGACCTCTGATGACTTCTCTCATTCCATCTGCTTTACAATAATTATCTACTAATGTGCAAGATATTGTTAGGCACTTTGAAAATAATGTCTAAAACTTCAGTATTACCTGATGATGTGGGAATTATTCCCATTTTATGGGTGAGAAGACTGAGGCTCAGAGAGTATAAGTGACTTGTAACAGGTCACTCCCAAGTCCACATGATCTTTTTTTGAAGCTATTTATAATAGTAATTGTTCTGAATTCAGAGACTGAAGGTCATCTGGCCAGAAGCCAGGCTCCATTCAGAGTCTTTTTATATACATTTAACTTGGATTACTTTAAAAGATAAATTTTCCTTTTGGCAGTGTATTAGTCTCTTTAAATTCTGTATTTGTCAGGTGATATTGTGAAGTCATCTTTGAAGTGAAAAGTTTTGATTACTACAAACACAGTTACCTGTCATTGCCTGTGTGCTGTGCGTCGGGCACTGTATTAATTGCTTTGTGTGCATTGTGTCATCTAACTCTCACAAGCACACGCGAGGTAGAGACACCATTGTGCCTGTTTCAGATTTGGAGAAAATGAGGCTTGAGAGGTTCTACAGCTACCAGCTAGAGTGCATAGGGGAGAGCTGCGAGGATTCCATACTAGTAAACTAATGCAGGGACCCGAAGATCCAGGCCCAGAGGTGTCCGTATGTAGCTGTTTCTCCACATATGTCAGAATGCTCCCTTCCTCTGCAGTGTTTGGCATTGTTGGAACTCTTCTCCAAGCTTAGACCTCCATAGTAAGAGTAGGACAAAGGGGAGGACAGTGACTGAGAACTGTATTAAATATACAGTGTCTGTGAAGAGACATTTGTTATGTGTAGCTGATAACATTCAGTCATGAATATCTATCTTTTTAAAGAAGGACTTAAAAAAAAATCCTCAAACCAGTGAAAAAGAAAACTGTCTTCCTTTTTTATTGCTTAAACATTTGATTACTTAAACATCCCAACTTTTCAATATGTAAATTAAAAAGCTGTGTTAAGATGGCCCATCCTAGGGGCGCCTGGGTGGCTTTGTTGGTTAAGTGTCCAACTCTTGATCTCAGCTCAGGAGGTCTTGATCTCTGGGTTGTCAGTTCGAGCCCTGCAAAAAAAAAAGAAAAAAGATTACCCATTCTATCAGAGATAACCCATTCTATAAAAAAGATTACCCATTCTATCAAAGGAATAAAATATATGCTTTGATTAAATTTTCAGATAGAATCAGCATGTTCTCCTGTAAGAGGCCCTGAGTTAGACTTTGGTCCAGTCCTTTTGTTAATATAAATTACTTCAGTTGCAGGTTTCTGCAGAGAAGGAAGTGGTACAGGTGTGCTTAAATTTGGTAGAGGAAGATGAGTAGCAGTGTGGAAGAGGGGAGGGCAGGGGACTCTTAGATTGTGTTGCTGGAGATTTTCTTGCTCCCAAGTTCCTCTGCTTTATAGGGTTTCTCTTTTTTATTACTGTCATTTTTATTTACCATTTTCAGGTTGAGTGAAGAGAAGAAATAAAGATAAAAATAGGTTTGGCTCATGAGTCTTGTGATAGTAAAAGTGTAGCTATCATTTGGCTTTGGGATATAATCATTTATGTAGCACTTAAAAGGGATTTAAAAATACATTTAAAAAAAAAATCTATGTATAGGAATGAGATTTCTTTCCCTTGTCCCAACGTGCAAAGGGGTTGTTAACCTGAAAGTTTGGTAAAATGCCCTCCTCTACATATAATTAAGTAATTTTTTCCCAAGAATTATTTTAAAAGTGGTTTTATATAACTGCTTAGAGGTGCTATTTGATCAACGGTACAATTAGGAAAGATTAATAAGGCTTGTAGAATTAATTATTTTTACTGGTCTCCAAATCGGCTAGAGAAAAGTCCATGGTTCTGAATGATTTCTGTATAATTTAATGTCTCAGGAAGAGATAACTATAGATTAGTGACAAACCACAGATTATTAGGAAGCTGAATTTAAAAAAAATAGTAGAAACTATTTTCTACTGCATGGATATACTATCCATGCAGGATAGTGCGTATGAGTGTACACCTTGCTGACCATTCCGGAAGGGAGCCCTCCTGGTGACTAGCATCTGGATCGAGAAGTACAACATTACTAGCACTTGGGCTACCTTCTTTGCGCTGTCCCCACATGATGGGTAACTGCTTTCTTGGCTTCTGACAGGACAGGTTAATTTTGCCCGTTTTTAATAAATATAGTCATGTAATATGTGCCTAAGAAAGCAATAAAAAATGTGTCTAAAATGCTTCAACCCCTAGAGAGTCGGAAGGCTTTTATTTAGGTAGAGAGAAGGCGGTTGTGATGAGGGCAGGTTAGACTGTGTATAGAAATATCACCTACGTAGTGTGTTGATGGGCCTTTGCTTCTTTCCTTCTCTCTCCAGCCCAGTGGAAAAATGCCTTCTTGGTATGTGGGCAAGTATGATTCACCCTAGAGAAACTGGGCAAATAGGCTTTGAACTCCGACCTACTTCTCTGCTTCTTGGTCAACCAAAGAGGAACTGCTTACCTATCTACCTGTCTGCACCCACATATACATACACTCATACATGTATACATACATACACATATATACATATGTGTATATGTATATACATATACACATACATGTGTGAGTGCGTATGCCTTGTGTATATATGTGTAAGTGTGTTTCCTGAGGTCATTAACATACTTCTGTGGCATATCAGGGAGTTCTTTCATTCTGACTCAGAGTATGGCCTTGGTAGGACACCTAGGGTAATTGTGGGCAGCTGGTTGACTGGCCTGATTGGGTAAGTAGTCTTGCTCTGTGACACATGTGGCTTAGGAAATAATCATGGTCCTGTAGAAATCGGAGATTTCTGTAAAATCTGCAAAGAATTCTCTGAATCCTTTGTTTCATAAGCTACCACTCTGAAATTGCCTGAGTATCATTAGAGGAAAAATCATTGTGAGGCTTTGGTGTTGGGCTGAGTTCCCTCACTTATCCCCCGTCTTGGAATCAGGGCATACCTATCTTTCTCTGCCCTATTTCTGTTTCCAGGTCTCAAATTCCATTACATTACATTCTTAACAAAATAAAGTCGCTAATCTTGTCCTCTCAAATATCCAGTTTACTGAGAAATATTGGTTCATCATTTGCAGGTACTTATTTGGTTTTCAAGGTTTAGTGTGAGTCACTTCCCCTAGTCCTTGGCTTATAGTAGGCATTTCTACTGGTGTAGACCTCATGAGAGCAAACACTTTGTCTTGATGATTGCTGTATCCCCGGTATATAAAATTGGGCTTGGTACCTCGTGGGTCCTCAAATATTTGTTATTCAGTACATAGATCTAGTAAGCAGGGATTGGGATTCACCTAGTGTTCTGGCTTTTCTTAAATGTTCTTGTTCTGTGCCCCTCTCCAGGTTTAATTGGTTCCTAAGAAAGTGAGGATGAGGATAATGACTATACGATTAATTATTCAGTGTTATCAAGGCTCTTTTCATTCCACAAAGCTCACGGAGATAGGTTTATTGGTTTCTTACACTTTTCTGTTTCTGTTCAATAAAATTTGGTAAATTGAACTGATTTACGTGCAGGTTGGGAATGCCCACTAATTTTGCACTAATGTCTACTTGAGATCTCTGTTTCAGGCATCAGGGGAAATAAGATAACCTAAGATTAAAATCTACCAATTTGCCAGCAGCAATACTGTGGTTTAAAGTGTGATTTAAAGGGGTTTAAAGGGATCCTTCATAAAATTTAGGATTTTAGCTACCTGTATAGCCATTGTTCTTTCTTGTACATAAAGATCATGCATTTTTTTTTTTTTAAAGATTTTATTTATTTATTTGAGAGAGAGAGAATGAGAGACAGAGAGCATGAGAGGGAGGAGGGTCAGAGGGAGAAGC